CCATACATACATACTCTGCAATCACCATTTGTTCTTTCTTCCCTCCTCGATGTTCTAGAAATAAAACCATGAGAGGCTGTAATAATTTTTCTTTTTCGTTTAAAGCCTTATTTGGGACACTGATGGTCTTGAGGTTCATCTTTGTTGGGACACTGCAAAGTGATCAAGGAAACAAGACAACGTTAGGAAATGTTGATAAGTCATGGTCGTGGAAGGGAAAGGTGCTGCTACAGTAGAAAGAGGAACCAGGCAAAGGAAAGTCGAGTTTGGTGCATCAACGGATGGATCTCAACTACATGAGCAAAAGAAGAGTTCCTAATGGTCCAGATCCTATTCATAACAGGTCTGCTTCTTATGTTTGTTTTTTTCAGATTGAGAGTGCTTTTTCAGATTACGTCTAATATTTGATGTATTGATGGTGTACAATTCTATGCGGTTGATAAATCAAATAATAATTATATGCTTTTTACTGTTAATTTCTTCTCTTGTTCATTTAACTGTTACATTGAGTCCTACTGTACATGTGGTCCATTGTTTTTAGTCTCCAACACTACCCACTTACAACAGAAAAATAATAAAGCCTGCCTCTTCCCTTTATTCCATCTCTTAATCTTTGCTTATCCAAAGCTAATTGTCATTAGCATATTGCATTTATAAAGCCTTGTGTAATTACTAATTAATTAAACCCTTTTGTATGTCACCTTTCTTTGGTCTTTCTTTCTCTTCTTTTCATTAGTTTGTCATACAAATCTACAGTACGCCTTTTTCTTTTTCGAAAGTGTGCAGTTGCAAAGCAAAGCAAATCTATAAAAGCTGGCCATGTTCCGAGCAAATTGCAGCTACTTAATATCTTTTCCTTTCTCTTTTTTTTTCCCTTTTAAACAGGCGAGCCGGCAATTCGAGACGGCCGCCAAGACAAGCTTAGGCATGATCGTACGGCAGCCGGAAGCTTCAAATCAGCCGAAGTGGTAAAAGACGATGAGCAGAAAAACCAGCATTTGTGACATATATCTTGCATGTAAAATTTTTGAGTTGGTACAATAAATATTTGAAAGCATGCATGCATTTAGTTCTTTCTTAGGAGAGAGGAGTTAACCTAAAATTTGCTCATTTAAAGCATCTAGCTATCCTTTGTATGTTAAAAGACGATAACCTTTTGTATGTTAAAAGACAATAATTATTTTATTAATTAGATGAAAAAATATTAACCCTTAGAAATAATAAAAAAAATATAAAAGAAACAGGTAAGATCAAGGAACGATATTTGGTAGTGCAGACATATATTCTTTGGAATTGGCTAATTGGCTCTGGATTCATTTGCTTTAATCAACATAGTTTACCAAAGGATTGAGTTATGTACGGAGAGACTTCGAATACACTTAAAACATTTAAATCTTGCACAATTTTTTAGATCTTATTAAATGAGTTTAAGGGCAAAACTTTCGAGATAATGTTATGGAAAAAATTAATTCACGAGATAAAGCACTCCCAATATTAATTGCTCAAATAAGGTGAATCCAACAGTGTTGGCCGTAGGTCGCCATGCCTTCCGGGCGACCTACTAGGTCGCCATGTCTTCCTGGCGAGCTACAAGAGATTGCATGTGCCATGCACGTCCCAACACGCTGGGCATCCGAGGCCATCCGACCGAGGCCATCCGAACGAGCTATGCGAGGGCATCCGAGGGCAACCGAGCTAGCTATGCGAGGGAATCCGAGGGAAGCCGAGCGAGGGTAGGTCGCCCGGAGGGCATGGCGACCTACAAGGTCGCCCGGAGGGCATGGCGACCTATGTGTTGGGACGTGCATGTGCCATGCAACACGTTCATTCTCTCTGTAACACGTTCATTCTCTCTGTTTGAGCAAGGGTAGGTCGCCCGGAGTGCATGGCGACCTACGGCCAACACTGTAGATTTCACCCTATTTGAGCAATTAATCTTGGGAGTGCATTAGCTCGTGAATTAATTTCTTTAAGAACATTATCTCGAAAGTTTTGCCGAGTTTAAGAGTCGAGATTAAACTTTTAAAGTTGAGAATAATTCAATTTTTTTCATAAAAATATCATTAATTTTAATTACTTATTTTCATCTCTCTAATAATCTAAAAATTGTGTATTTATTTTTAAAATAGTTTAAGGTGATTACAATAGCATATTTATTCAGAATATTTCTTAATAATTGACTATGCAAATACATCCTATAAACTCGACCTTTCCTTGAGAATCAGACAACGAAAGAGGAAGGGGCATGTTGAATTCTTACATTTTCATGACTATAACTTAGTTCATCCCATTATTACATCTTATATTTCATATTAGAGGAATGAACTTAATCCAAACTATGAATCATAAAAGCAAATACATATTAAACTGATCATAGGAATACCAGTTATCGTAACTATTATCCAAAGAAAAATCCTTCCGCTATAGACAAACAGTCATAGATAACTATGAGATACAATACTCCATAATGAGATCCTACTCTTATTTAATATTCTATTATTTTTTTCTTAATTGAAGAAATAAATGGAAAATAAAACTATGTTCGAACTCAAGACTTCTTACAAGAATAACACTCCTGACCATTGAAATCATTTATGAATTTAAAAAACATATAAAACTTAAAAGTTTTATATTATTCCAATAAATCATAATAAAATATCTAAATTATCTAAAATCATGTAAATTTTTAAATTGAAAAATATTATACATTGAAAAGCTTATATCTTTCTATATACAACACCATACGAAAAAGCTAATACTCCATAGACGTTGAGTTATATTCTTACAATCTGGGGGCAGTCAAAGCAAAGCACAAAAGAAACGGAGAAAGAGTGGAATTAATATATTATATAAAATGGATATATTCTCAAACAAAAAATCAAAAGAGGGCTGCTCTCTCCACGCATTAACCCTTTCTAAAGTATGACTCAAATTTCGCTAATTACTTGAAACGGAGAAAAGCAATAGGAGAGCCAGTGGCAAGCTTACCGACACCGTTTCCATAATTAAATTTGACTATTCAAATGTTTTAAACTCGTCCTTTTCGGTCGTTCTGACTATTCATTGTTAACGTCTAGGTCAGACGACCGTAAATTTTTAATGGAAAATGACGAGTTTTGAACATATAAATTGTCAGGTGACTATTTTATAACTTTTAATAGTCGAAGAACTCAACAAAACAACATTTTATAGTCAGAGAACTATCTTGTAACTTTAATAATCAAGGGACCTAATAAATCAACACTCTATAGTCGAAAGACCATTTGTGTATTTTACTCAAGATTCTATTAATTCGACCGACGAATCAAATTAAATATAAGGTGAATTATTAAAAATTTAAAATAAACTAATTTTCTGATTTTGCACAATTGGGAAAGAATGGACACCGAAAGAAAAGGAATTGAGAAATTCAGAGAAAGGATTAAGGATTTCCAACAGGAAACTTAAGATAATTGCAAATGACACTGAAGAGGAAAGAAAATTAGAACATATAAGAGGAAGGAGCCCAATACTTGTTTTCTTGATTTAGAAGCAGACCATAAGGGAGGCTGATAAAAAAAATTAGCCTATCAAATTATCTTCAAAATTAATTTTAGATTCACAGTATTTATTACAGCAACTTAAAACTTATCATGTCAACGTGACGAATTTAAATAAAAAATATTATTTGAATAAATTCGTCATGTGAGCGTGACAAGTTTATCATGTAATGTAATATTTACATTAGATCACAAATTAAAATTTGAATTTATCTAATGAACTAATTATTTTACTCGTTTGACTTAGTAGGTCAATTTTACCGACCTCAAGTGTCAGGAGCCCTACAGCATCACCTGCACAAAATCACTACAGTTAGTTACAACAAGGACAACCAAGACAACTGCAAGATCTAGTGATTTTGGTACATTGTAAACAAATAAACTAATATACTGCATGAGAAAAGAATTATGAATTTATTTAATCAAAGTTTTTCTCTTCTCCTTGTAAAATCTCTGCGATAATTCTCTAGTTCTTCGAAAGTTCGTAACACATTTTTATATATGAATACGTGTGTGTATATCGATTATTTACTAAGTGGTTTCATGCTGGACAATAATGTGATTACGGGGTTCAGAGCCCCCAAACTATTGTTATCATTGGGGTAATATGGTTGCAATTTTAGAGATAGAGAAAAATATAGATCAGAATTTTCTTCAGTTTAATTCGATATCCCGACAAGTTAAATTTGAAATTAAAAGTGCATTTTTTAAATTTTTCAAATTTTTAAGGTGTATTTTCTTTTAAATATGCTTTATAAAATATTGAGGAAGGCTCGTCACATAAGATGTGCTTCTTAGGTGTTCTGCCACCTCAGTAAAGGTGCTCCCTGTGACTCGTCTTGTCGTCACATGTGCAAAGTGTGTTACCCAAAACGCACCTTCTTACTTTGATTTCAGAAAGGGTGTTAGTTTGGTACATATTGAAACAAAGGTGCTAGATTGTGAATGTGGCATTGTCTTTGTACGAAATGAAACACACTATAATTTTGTTATTTCAAGATACAAATAAAAAGCATATTATTTTCTCCAGGTTGTCACACCTATTAATTATGTCGGAAATGATCCATATAACATTACACGTTGAATTATTCTTTTCTTCATTTGTCAAATTAATGATAAGTGATTTAATCGATATTTTGTAAATAATTTAAAAATCAATTGATGAAATTAATAATTTAATAATTTAAATAGAGCCTACCTCATAATTAAATGATTATTCATATATGTTACCCCTTAAAAATAACTTAAAAGTTGAATTGAAAAAGATGTCAAATATGGAAGGATTCTTTTGCTATTATACCATTTATACAATCCTCCTCAGCTTTGATTTCATTATTGATGAGAAACATCATCGTCATTTTGCATCCCACAAACCCACCCAAACAAGATTTTATTTAAAAAGAACAAAAAAAAGGCATTAAATTTCATAACAATCCCTTATTATAAACCACAAAACGAAAATATTAAAGAGGGAAAAGTTAAAAGTGTACGCAGTGGCTGGTGACCATCCATTTCGAATAGCACCACCCACAAATTCAAAGACAACGACACACCACTTGCTTTAGATTACACACCCACCACCATATCTCCTCTAAATTAAAACACGTGCTTCCATCCCATAATCATCCTCTTAATCTACAATTAATAAAGCAATCATATTTACTTAATCTACAATTAAATTGTACAATAGTGCTACAATACATTCTTTTATTTTTTCCTTTCAAGCAACGCTGATTATGCCGCCGTTGCCGTCACCGCTAGACATGGCCTGAAAAGTAGAAGACCGAGCTTCTGCTTCTGCCGTCGAAGACGGTGTAGAGAGTTTCAGCGGTTGACACAGTGGCAGCGGTGGCGACGAAACGTTTTCTTGGCGGATGACTTCATCTGCTTCTTCCAGTATGGTCGTGTTCATGAACTGGGGATTTGAGGAAAGGGAAGTGATTATTACAGACAGTAATAATTGTGGAAGGAGAAGATGAAGATCATTTTATTTATTCGTACCGAATGAGTTGTTATATCAAAGAGACTGGACCGACGGCGTCTGTGATTCTTGTTATTTTGGCGGAGAAAATACTTCTGAGCATGACTTGCGACCTGTGTCGGCGTACGTGTCTTCACGAAGTGTCTGGAAATGCCTCTCCAATCTCCTTTACCTACTTTCTTCAACCCCACTAAGAACAATCTATGTTCCTCCTCCGTCCATGGAACACCTATATATTAATCAAAATCAATCAAAAAAACAAAATCAGTTCAAAAGATATGTTTGGTGATAAAACTGTACCTCTCTTGCGTTGACCACTTCTTCCGGATGCGTGAACTACGTCTTCGGAAGCATAGCCGGAGGCGTTGGAATAATCCGGATTCTGCTGCTCCTCGTTGTCGAACTGAGAAAGATTGTTCATGCTAACACTTTTTCTGAACGATCCTTCCGTCAGTCGGACGCCGAATAACATGATGCTGTTTCCGACGCCGGCGACCTTTCCTCTTTCTTCGGAGTAGTGGCCGTTGTTTCCACTATGAGAACAGCTATAAGACATCTTCTTTTTTCCTGTGTTCGTGAACCTGACTCACCCTTTCTTTCGGTTTCAAGTGAAACGGGGAATGGAGAATAAATATAGAAGGAAAGTGTGTTTCAAAGACATGGAGGGTATGGTAACGTTTCCTAGATTAATCTGGACCGTCAAATGTGCCTGCGTAATCCCTTATCACTTGGCCAAGTGTTTCTTTTGTAGTTTCATATCAAATCTTTAAGACAGCGGATTATCGAGTGTTGAAAGCATTTACATTGATTAATAATCAAGCTAGGAAGTCTTTTTAGATTAACTACATTTATTTATCATGTGTTACAACGGATGATTAATTTAAAACTAAAAGAAATTAAATCATCTCTCTTGTAAAAATACAAGTCAATACACACTTTAACCGATTGGTGAAATTAATCTTATTAGATTTTAATAAAATATAATTATTATATCTTTAAAAAATAACCTTAAAAAACTATCGGTTTTTTTATTAGGATGAACTCTCGAACAAATCTTTTTGCTTACTAGAGTCTTCAAGCAATCCATATTTTCTAAATATAGTGTTTTGAGTCGACCACGATATATAGATAAGACTTATGATAAATTTAAGTGACTTATCATAATGAATCTAAAATCTAACAATCAGATTTATTTAATCTACTGACATTCAAATAGTTATAATTAGCTTGTTTCACTTCACAAATTAAGATTAATATAAATATTCTTGGTCTAGACTAATAAAGGGGTTGAATATCCTATAATTCACGCTTCTTCATCATGGACATTTTCTCTAGTATAAAATCATATTTAGATGGATCGAGAAAAGAATGTTGGATGATATATGGTTAGATTTATGGGTATTTGGATTTCTTTTTTCTTTTTTATCGAAATAAACATCACATCCGAACTTGTAGGGTGTAGAAATATTTAAGCTACTTGAATTTGTATGTAAATAGTCATCCTTAATTAAATTTAGGGTAAATTATATCATTGATCATTCAATTATGTAGCCCTTTTACTTTTATCACCTATCTTTCAATTTTGTCAATCAGATCACTTAACTATTTAATTGTGTTCAATCAGACCCCTTGTCGTTAATATCTAACGGAGATACTGACGTGACAGTTAATAAAATTGACATATTTATACATTTAGTCCTTAATATTTATATATTATATCAATTTAGTCCTAATTTAAATTAAATTTAATAAATTAATCATTCAATCAAGAGGTGACGCATGTCAATACATGATTGGAAAATTTTATTTATGAATTTTATTTATTTAATTAAATAATTTTTCTATCCAATCCGAATCCAATTGAAGTGAAAATAAAGGAGATAAATTTGCACAGGAGGCATAAAGGGAATCAAAACTGGGTTTTCATGACAAGCTTGCACATGCCTCCCCACTGAACCAAGCTCCAAGTTTGGGACTTTATTTACACACAATACCATATATATTTTAATTAGTGCCAGGAAAAAAAACAAATAAGCCCATAGTAAGAATTGAACCTAGATTATATATATATATATATATATATTATAAATTGGTTTATATATTATTAAAATAAATATTTTAAAAATAAACAAAGATCTAAATATTTTTAAAATAAATTTAATATTTTTTATTTATAATTCAAATATTATATATAATTTTAGGGTAAATTACACGGATCGTCACTATACTTTGCTCTATTTCCTATTTCACTCACTGTATTTTAAAACTAGTCAATTTCATCACTAAATTTAATATAATTGACAAAATTGGTCACTCAGCCGTTTTCTCCACTAACAACCGTTTCTCCCACTATTGCCTCAAGCCCACTTGCATGATGATAGAACGACGACGAAGGGACATTACCACCTAGTTTCGGTCGAAACTAGTCAAGGAACTCTGTGGCGAAGGCGGTGAGATGAAACAGTGACGGAATTGGTCGGACATCGCAAAAATCAGCAACGACATCATAACACCGTTAGTGGGGAAAACGGCCGAGTGACCAAATTTGTCAATTATATTAAGTTCAATGATGAAATTGACCAGTTTTAAGTATAGTGAGTGAAATAGTAGAAAGAGCAAAGTACAGTGATGATCTGTGTAATTACCCATAATTTTAAATTGGATATTTTTAATTTAATTAATGATTTTATTTTTTAATTATTTTTTTTAAAATAAAATGATTAATTAAATAAAAATATTCAATTTAAATTTATATATTATATTTGAATTATAAATGTAAAAATAAAAAATATTAAATTTATATATAACCTGGTTATAATGGTCTAGTCCTAAACTTTTCATGTGGTACAGGTTCAATATATAAGGTATTGTATAATTCATGACAAAAACGTGCAGCTTGGTTCAGTGGTAAGGTGTGCATGCAAGTTGATCCTAAGGACCTACGTTTGAATCCTCAGCCTTTATATTTCTTCCTTACATGTGTTACCATCTAGTTGGAAGATAAATATATAAATTATAGAAAAAATATTTAATCTAATGATGACGTGTGTCACCATTTAATTGGTGGATTAAATTTATTGAATTAAATTTATTTTAGGAACAATTTGATAGAATATATAAGTATTGATGACTAAATATATAATTATATCGATTTTATTAACCTTAAACCATATGATGACACGTGTCATCTGGTTGGAAGATAAATATATAAATTAAATAAATATAAATTATAGAAAAAATATTTAATCTAATGGTAACATGTGTCACCATCTAATTGGAGGATTAAATTTATTGAATTAAATTTATTTTAGGAACAAATGATAGAATGTACAAGTATTGACGACTAAATGTATAATTATATCGATTTTATTAACCTTCAACTAGATGATGACACATGTCACCATATAGTCGGAAGATAAATATATAAATTAAATAAATATAAATTATAGAAAAAATATTAAATCTAATGGTAACATGTGCCACCATCTAATTGGTGGATTAAATTTATTAAATTAAATTTATTTTAGGAACAAACTGATAGAATGTATAAGTATTGACGACTAAATGTATAATTATACCGATTTTATTAATCTTCAACTATATGATGACATGTGTCACCATCTGGTTGGAAGATAAATATATAAATTAAATAAATATAAATTATAGAAAAAATATTAAATCTAATGGTAACATGTGTCACCATCTAATTGGTGGATTAAATTTATTAAATTAAATTTATTTTAAGAACAAACTGATAGAATGTATAAGTATTGACGACTAAATGTATAATTATACCGATTTTATTAATCTTCAACTATATGATGACATGTGTCACCATCTGGTTGGAAGATAAATATATAAATTAAATAAATATAAATTATAAAAAATATTTAATCTAATGGTGACATGTGTCACCATCTAATTGGTGGATTAAATTTATTTTAGGAACAAATTGATAGAATGTATAAGTATTGATGACTTAATGTATAATTATTGATGACTTAATGTATAATTATATCAATTTTATTAACTACCACTTCAACATCCCCATTAGATATTAATTGCAAGTGATCTGATTGAACATAATTAAATAGCTAAGTGGTTTGATTGACAAAATTGAAAGATCAGTGATAAAGTAAAAGGGCTACATAATTGAGTGGTCAATAGTATAGTTTACCCTTAAATTTATAAAAATCATTAGAAATATTAAAAATAATTGATGAAATTAAAGTTTGAATATCGATTTGAGTAAAAAAAATTAGATATCAACTTGAAAAATTGTCTAATCCATATATCAATTTAAGAACAAAAATATTTTAAATACCAATTAAAAAAATATTATTCAAATATTAATTATATATTTAAGATTTTTTTTAAAAAAACATAACAAGTGAGATGATTCCGATTCCATTAACAATGCATGGTCTCATATATTCTAAAGGGAGTTTGATAAGGATTTTGAAAATTAACTTTTAAAAGTACGGCAGAAAAGAACTTTTAGAAGTGTTGTTTAAAAGTGCATTTTAAATTTTAGCTGTTTGAAATTATTGTTAAAAATTGAGTTTAAAAAGATAAAATGATCATTATAGACATTATGTTGTAAATTAATAATATATGATTTAAATTATATTTACACTTATTTTTTTGTCCTCCTGGTTTCAAGGTTTCATCTTGACTAATTCGAATCGACCCGCGTCACACACCTGGTTTAACATTGATTTTAGGTCAAAACGAATTTTTTAGTTAAAAGTGCGTTTAGAAAACCACACCAAGCGGGACCTAAATCTTATATACATCAGGCATATCCAGAACGGACATAAGTGGTACCTTGAATGCCCCTGCTGAATAGAGTAATGAAAGAGTCGAGTGCTAATATGAATAAGGATACTTGACCGTGCCCATTGTTGTCAATCTTGGAGATGAGAAATGCTGCAAAGTTTGCTTCGCGACGAATAAGAATAAAATCGACAATCTAGGCTCGATCTAATAGTGTAGAAATTTCATGCACGGAGTAAGAGATTTCGAGGGAGAAGTTTGTACCCAATTTAAAAGTATCCAAGCTACCCATCTAAAGTTTTAGTTTCTCAAACACAGCTCCATACGATCTTTAATCCTTCAAGAATTCCCCATAGACTGATGCCAAACCAAGTTGCTTGTTGAATCTCAATAGAAAATTACCATCATGGTTTTTGAAGATACCACTCGCTGATTTCTTCCAACAATGAAGCGGTCCAAGCTCGAGGATCCAAACAACATGCTAAAATGGATTGAATGATCATTGCCAATCAACCAGGCTAGTTGATGCTGGAAAGGAGGTCATACTCCACTAAGAGATCTAAAAAAGGGGGAACAGTTTGTTTTAGAGATTGGATCTACGTATGCGAGTCCATTCGATATTTCTCTCTTAATAAAGCTACTCAATAGCGGTTTGGAGAGAATACTAAGGCATTGTAGAGTTTTATATGGAAAGTAAAATTGTGCCCTCGTTGTCGTCGGATGCCTAACCCCCCATGCTTTAGAGGTTGACATATGGTGTACCAATTTACAAGCGGAAAGGCTCGACCATTGTCATTTGTTCTCCAGATAAAATTTTTGATTACCCTTTCGATCTCTCGACAAATACGAAGAGGAAAAAGATAAGCCTGCATA